TTGGGTGGTCGATATTGCGCACGAGGTAAGCTTTCTTCAATTCAAATTTTTTCCCTCCTTGGTCAAACTAAATCAAGGAGTTCAAATTTGAATCCTTCCCCTTCCCAAGCACAAGTGCGACCTCTCTTAAGCACTCTTTGTCCCCTTGCTCCCCACAAAAAGATTCCACAACCCTCTATATAAACAAACCCCACCCTTCTCTCTTTCTCACTTTCATTTTTCTAGTTTTCAACCACTAAATTTCGAATCATTTAGTTTCCTAAGTGCTTGAGAGAGTCAAACCACTTCAGGTATTATCTCTTAGCTTTTAAATGTTTCAAATTTTATTTTCTGCACTTAAGAACTTGTTCTTGTTTGGTGATTGCTTTCTAGTTCAATGTTTATTTCTTCTTAGTTATTTTATTTTTTTTGCATGGTGAATAGACTGTTTTTGAATTTTGAAGCATTTAAATTAATGAACACTTGCTTGTCAAATTCATCTATTTATATTTGCATTAGCATTTTAGTAATTTTTTTTAGTTTCACTATGCTAGGATTCATCATTTTCGATTACTTGATAAAATTTGTTTAATGAATCATTTGCATGCATTGCCTATTTAGTTGCTTCATAACTGTTAGAGTCTTACTTTTCAGTAAATAAACTCCTCCTTTTGTGATTTTTAGCAACCTTACGCATTGTGTTTTGTTGCTTCCATGGTTCTCATTTTTCTTTTAAGAATATGTTTTAGGTACCATGGAAATAACAACAAGAAATGGAGCTAACAAAGAGGCTGAGAAGCAAGAGAAAGGCAAGGGAAAGGCCAAAGAAGTTGGGAGTCCAAGCGCCAAATCTCAAGGCAAAAAGAGAGTTGATATTGGCGCTAGTGAGCAGGTCCCTCAAAAGAAGAAAGACGCCACACCAGCTCAAAGGCAGTTGTATGACAAGCTGCAAAAGGTGCATGTGAGGCCAACTAGATACCCCCATGTGCCATCCCTAAAGGCCTTGGGACTCTATGAAGACTGCTCTTCTATGCTTGAGCCAATAGAGCTCACAAAGCTGGTGGGAACTCCATATTCAGCCAACAAAGACCAAGTCCTTCAATTCTTTGCAAGTTTTGAAGTGACATTCTATGAGCCAGGAGAGGAGACTCCTGAAGAAGATGGTGATGGCTTCATCACTTTCAGAGTTTCCAAGAAGAACTATATGTCTTTCTCAGCTATAGAAGATGCCTTTGGATTCTCTTATGGAAGCGCTAGAGGACATAATCTGGGGGTTAGCAAAGAAAAGATGAGCAGCCTTTCGGAGCATGTAGCCAAGGGCGCTTTCAAGCCAGGAAGAAGCAAGGCTTTTCTGATCAGAAATACAACAATCAGATATGTGCACAAGGCGATGGCGCACACACTCTTTGCTAGGAAAGAAAGTGGAGAAGTTGAAGGAGGAGAATGGGAGCTTATTGATCATGGTCTTATGAGTGTTTTGGACAGAACCAACCAAGGTGTTGCACTTAGGGGAGCAGATGGTACAACTGGAATGGTCACCATCTTCATGCAGCAGCTTTTGGTCATCAAACATTTATTAACAACCAATGATGACAAGGCCCCAAATCTGTATTGTGCTGGACTTATTACACAACTGATGTAAGCTGCAGGAGTTGAGAGTAGACCACCAACAATCAAGATCACATACTTGGACCTGCCATACTTGAAAAAAGCAAGGTTCCCTTGTGAACAAGTGGGTGACAAGTTCATCTACAACTTCATCCAACAAGATGGATCTGCTGCCAAGCTTCTTCTCCCCAATGAGCATCACACATCTTACTCCATCCCCAACAGTTTTCTCTTTGCCATTCCCCAAGACCTCCTTTACCAAGCTGGCGCTTCATCCTCTCACATTTACTAAGGCGGTAACATCCCTCTTCCTCAAGGAGACTATCCCCTTGTGATCTTCGAAGGAGGGCAAATGGAAGAAGGAATTCAGGAAGACGAAGAATCAGATGCTCCAAGCTACAACAGTGAGGAGTACAACTTCCAGCCCCATGAACACATCAACCTCCTGCAAAGATGGAACAAATGGCAAGACAAAACCATCAAGAAGTTGGTGAAGGGCATGAAGAGCATGAAAGCTCAAATCAAGGACTTAAAGAGGAAGTCTAGTGGAGCCTCTACTTCTGCTCCTCAAAAAGAGAAACAAGCTGAAAGCCAAGGAGTGGCTAGAGCTCCTAGTAGAAGGCGCTCCTTTGCTGGTTATGAGGAAGTGAGAGCTTGGGTACCACCAAGGGCATCCTGTCAAGAAGCGCCAAGGAGGAGAAGACACCCAAGGAGAGAGAGGCCAATGGGGAGCCACAACAAGGAGTGGTTAGAGCTCCTAGTGATTTCCGAAACCGTGTGAGTGAGGCCAAAACACAGAGAAAGATTATGTGGTGATTGCAGGGTCAGTAAATAAGTCGGTTGGGGTCCGGAAAAAATAACGCACCGGCCGTTGGACAAGGGCGGGGCCCACGAGCCCGACGGAGGGATGGGTGACTCGCCGGTAGGGGCGGTCATGGGCTTGAACAGAAACATTGATGACCCTTACATCTGAATAAAGACACATAACTGAAACATCCTTCTTCCACATAACAGCTAAACCTCCGCTTCTACCAATTGGAGGGACACAGAAAACAGAATCAAATCCTAATGAAACTGAAGATCTCTAACGACGTCAGAGGAATTCTTCGTTTCAACTAAAAAGAAAATATCAGGCCTAACTTTTCTACACAAATTCTTCATCATTGGCTCTGTAACTAGCCCCCCCCCCCCCCCCCCCCCCCCCCCCCCCCCCCCCCCCCCCCCCCCCCCCCCCCCCCCCCCCCCCCCCCCCCCGTGCCTCTGTCTATATGTTGATTGACTGAACATGAATCATGTGATTCTTCACCACAATCTCTCTTCTTAAGTGGACTCAAGGCCACCTCCTCATCACCTCTGAACGGATCGACAAGCAGGTCTTCGATTATCTGTCTGTTGCGCTTGTTGAATCCAGGTCCCTCCGCTTCATAAGCCTTATCTGTCTATTGTGCTTGTTGAATCCAGGTCCCTCCGCTTCATAAGCCTCAAATACGTCTGTGAAATTACTCTCATGAAATTTTCCTTTAGCTTTTTTCAAAGCACGCAGACGGAGCACTTCATCCAAATCTTCATTAGCCTGCTCTTCCTGAGCAACACCAACCTCTTGAAGAGGCATCCAGAAAGTTTTTTGTATCACATTAGATTTAAAATTTTTGGTCAAAAATTCACGAAATCAAATTAAAATACTCTAAAATAAATTTTTGTGTGGAAAAGTTACAAATTCTTGTTTTTGGCAGGAAATTTCTGATATCAGATTGTCATGGAATTTTTTTAAAATTATATTTTTAAGTAAGTTGTTTGGCGGAAGACTTACGGGTTCACTTATTTTTCAGGAAATTCATAAAATCAAAATTTTGACTAGTAGTTTTTGGAATCACATTTTTAATGTAAAATTTTTGGCAAATTTTTTTTATTGGTTTACTTTTTGGCAGAAAATTCAAAAAAATAAAATTTTGTAAAAATATTTTTGGAATCATATTTTTACGTATTTTTTTGGTAGAAAAGTTATTGATTCACATTTTTTGGCAGAAAAATTTACGAAATTGGGTTTTTGATGAAAAGTTTTGGGAATCTTATTGTTAAGTAAGTTTTTGGCAAAATATTTACAAGTTTAATTTTTTTTGAAATTTACGGAATCAAAATTTTGAAAGGAGAATTTTTCAACTATTATTATCATCTTATCTTGTCCCATTATAAACAAAAAATAAAAGTTTATAATATATTTGAATGTATTCTAATTTTATAGTGAGAATTAGAAATTAGAAATGAGACAAAAAAACGACGAAATGAGATGAAAAACTATAATACGATGAAAAATCTGAATAAAAAATAGAAGATAAAAAATAAAGAACAATCATTTAAAAAATTTTTTGAGTTTTGTGTATAATTTTTGTTGCTCTATATAATTTCTTAGACTTATTAAAATATTTTCTCACAAATTAAAACTTTTTTAAAATATATTACTAAACAGTCCAATTACTAATTTATTATAAATATTATTATTAAATAATTTATAGCCCTGTTCGTTTAGGTGACGCTGCATTTGATATCCGCGGTTAATAAATCTTCACAATCTCCTTCTCCATTAATACTTGACTGACGCTGTGTTAAACAAAATTAAAGAAGTTCGGCGGTGCTGCTGACGCAAAAAAATACAGTAGCAGCTGCAGATCTCTCTCACTCCTGCAGCAAATAATCTGCAATTACCTTGATATTTTGTGCTGCTGTGGTTGTCGCAGCGTTTTCCAAACAGGGTTTATATCAATTTTTTTTTTGTATGCACATTTGTGTAATCCAACCACCTGATATATATTTTTAAAATCATAAAATAAATAATATAAATTTTAAAATCATAAAATTAATAATACTCGATTTGGTTGAAAATTTTAAATCTATTAAAATCATATAATCCTTAATTCCACTTAGTATTCTATTTCATTAAATGATTTATTTGTTTTTTCAAACAAAATTATTTAAAGTATGTAAGCAAAGTTTTAGCCAACACCATACAACAAGAGACACGGCCGAGTTTTCTTAAAAGAGTGACGAAAAGGTTTTTAGGGCTTTAACAATCAGAGAAGCTCCGCCCAAGCAAAGGGTTTAGATTCAGAAGCAGCTACCGGTAGAGCCTCTCTTTCTCCTCTTCCTCATATTTTTCTTCTCCATACCTTTAACCTTCCGAATCGATATCCCCATGAACCAAAACCAATTCTCCTTTCGATTCCTTTCCTTTACGATTTGGGTCGAATTACGCTCGAATCATCTTTTGTTTCTAGTAATTTTGGGTTCATGTTAACCTTAGTAATAGTTCTCACCAAGAAATGGATGATTTGTGTTACTTTGGTTTTTTGATATTTCGTAATGCCCACCAAATGTTCGATGAATTTCCTCACTAAAATATTTTAGTAACATTTCAGGTCTTTGAGCTGTTACCATGGCGACAACTACTGGACTCGAGTCACTGGTCGATCGTAAGTTGTCTTCTTTTGCCATTAAGTAGCATTCTTGATTGATTTATTTTTGTTCTGTCTCATGACAATCTATTTTTTTTGGTGTTGCAGAGCTTATTTCGGTAATTACAAATGACGGACGCAACATTGTGGTATGTTCTTTTCTATAGGTTGCTGTTGTTTATATGGTTTAGAATTTGCGTAAATCAGAGCAAGTATCTTAGCAAAAGAGAACACTTTTCAGGGAGTTCTTAAAGGTTTTGACCAGGCTACAAATATAATCCTTGATGAATCTCATGAACGCGTCTTTTCCACAAAGGTAAGCTTAAGATTTCTGTTTTTGTTTTTGTAATGTATTTCATCTGAATTTTGCAAAATTACCAAATCGAATGAATGCAAATACTTTTCTCCTACAAATGTTTGATGGCTTGTATCCTTGAGTAGCTAAATCTAGCCGTGGTGTCACTTTCACGAGGTCTCTAATGATGTAGCAGAGTTCTTGATGTCTCCGTATTTTGTGTGTAGTGATCAGATAAAACTAGAACAATGGAGGTGCAAGCTTAATTAGGATGCTAGTTTAGCCTTTGTTCATTGTTAAATCATCTTTCTTTGTCTGTTCATTGAATTGGTAGTACTTTTTTATAGTAATGTACGTTCGTTTATTTGCTTAATGCCATCTTTCCAACATAATATTGAGGAACAAACATATTCTGACATTTAGGATAAGGTTGGTCCCTGCAATGCTTTATTCATAGTGTGAGAGAATGGTGGATAATGAAATAATTGGCCTTAAGATAGTGTGGAATTGTGGATAGCCACTACAGATATGGTAATGGAGCTTACTCTGAAACAGAGTTAGTGCTAGTAATTCTTCAAATGTTATAATTCTGAGTGCATTTGTCAAAAGATTTAGCTAGTTCTAAGGTGAGTCAAATCTTTATCGGAATTGTCTAATTATACATGACCACAGAATTTTGTTTTCATCAAGAGGCGTAAAGGTTTTACTCCTGTTTGTTTTCTTTTTTGTACCAAGAGTATGTCAGGCCATGTTGATATTGAACTAGACCATCCTTCTTGGAAGGGATATGTATTCATAATGACTCAACCATGGAGCTTTTTGGCTTAGAAATAAAGATGCTTCTGTTTAAAATGATTCTTTCGGTTTCCATGTTAGGAAACGGAGAAAAGGCGTGTGATCTCAAAAGAGTTGCGTCTTTAGTTTCTTACTTACGACTTCCATTATTGTCTGGTGGATTCGAACATGAACAAATTTGCTTTTATTTAAGTTACCATGAAGTGTTTGATTGAGCATTAAGACCTCTTACTATGTTTTTTTCTTCACTCTGCCTCTCTTCAGTGAGCATCTCCAATCTACCTCTATTTTAGAGGGAAAAATAGAGTTTATAGAAAAATTCTCTCCAATCCACCTCTATTTTTACCTCTAAAATAGAGGTTGCTATTTTTTCCTCTATATTTGGAGTAACTCTATTTGTTCCTCTATAATAGAGATACACTTTTTTATTTATAAATTGGTCCTTTAACTTTTACATCTTTTTTATTTTTATTTATATAACATATAAAAAGTTAAATTAAATATTTGCATAATCTAGTTTGTATATATCCAATAAATAGCCATATATCTAACATATAAATTTAATTAAATTATAAAATATTAAATAACTTTAATAAAGTTTAATAAAATCAACATCATTTCAGACAATAATTATTATAGAAAAACAGAAAACATTATTTACTTTAATTAACTATATAATTTATAAATGAAAGTGGTTAATCCACGATAAAAAAATAAACATGAATAGCAATATAGTATACACATGTACAATAATACGTCAATAAAGTTACATTATACAGTTTTGTATGTTATTAAATACAAAAATCTAATAAATAAATAAATTTAATAATTTTGTTATGGTTTGAGAAAATTTTGTGAACATATAATATAACTAAATTGGAAAATTCTCATTTATTTCAAACTAAATTATAAATAAAATGATAAATTGCAATATTTTTTTAAAAATACAGAAATTGTAGAAAATGATAAATACTATAGTGATTTAATAAATGTTTTGAAAATTATAGAAAATTACAAATACTATAGTCATTTTGAATTTTGTTTATGAAATAAATGTTTAGTTTTAATATATTTTTATTATTGATGGAAATTTTTGTAAACAATAATATAAATGAGGTTAATTTGTAAATTTTATAGAAAGAAGGTATTCATAATAAATTATAAAGAGAATATTCTTAAAATATTCCTTTTTAGAGGAAAAAATAGAGGAATACATTGGAGAGAAGTACACCTCCATTTTAGAGTTCCTCTATTTTAGAGGAAAAAATAGAGGAACACATTGGAGATGGTCTAAGATCTGAATGTCTTGGTGTTTTACTACGTGTCTTGATATTTCAGGAAGGAGTACAACAACTTGTGTTGGGTTTGTACATTATCAGAGGCGACAACATGTAAAACTCTCATCCTCACATTATCGTGTTGACACATGATCTATTGATTTTCTAACGCTAAATTTGTATTTGTCATATTTTTTTATCAGAGGTGTTATTGGGGAGCTGGACGAGGAGCTTGATGCAAGTCTTGATCTTTCGAAACTGAGAGCTCATCCTTTGAAACCCGTCGTGCATTGAATTGAAAATAGTTAATGATGATGAGAAAAAAAAACATAAACAAAGAGAAAGATTGTAAACGATTTGGGATTACTTTGTTTTGCTGTCTTGGAGTTTGTTTGATGAGTGTATCTTAAGAACAAAAGGCTATAAACGTTTTGGCCTGAAAGATCGTTGTAGATCCAAAACGCAAACACAAACACAAACTTCCTTTGCGATTCTAATGTGATTTTTTTTTCTCAGACCGCGTTTCCATTAGAGGTGGGCACAATTCATGTTCCGTCCAATCCCGTCCCAGTCCTGATCCCATATTCCCGTATCATATGGGAATGTGCTTCCCGTATCATATGGGAATGTGCTTCCCATATAGTACAACATATTGATTCTCATTTATATTGATTCCCATTTAGGAATGGGACGGAACAGGAACGGGAATTCTCGAAGTCTCATTTGTCCCAAATTATATATAAATAATAAATTAGATATTTAAAATATATATCCAAAATGATCATTATTATATATTAATATATTATTTATATAAATGAAAGTTAAAACTTAAAAGTTGCACCTCTAAAGTTTTAACTTATAAGTTATAGTCTAAATGCATGTTGACTGTTGAGATTTAAACGGATTATGTTAGATTTTACTTTTTATTTTATTATATATGACTAATAGACTATATGTGATTTTTTGTTTACTATTTAATGGATTATGTTGTTTTTTTTAAAAAAAAAATGAAGCTTTTAAATTTTAATAATTAAGTTAAGTTTGATTTTATTTGTTTCTTGGTTAATTTATAATCTTATATGACATGTTATTATTATTTATTAGGATTCAGAAAATGAACAATGGACGAATATAAATTGAATTTTTTTTTTTTTTTTTTTTTTTTTACAATTGTCAATTTTTCATGTTATTAGATTTTTTGGAAATTCCCACACCCATTCCCGTCCTATCCCGTCCCATTCTCATCCCGTCCCAAATTTTGAATGGAATACATATGGAACAATTATTTTGATTTCCATAATCCTGTCCCGTTCCCATTCCCGCAAAATCCCGTCCCATATTCCCGTTTGCCCACCCCTAGTTTCCACTATGTTTTTTTAGAAGCTTATGTTTCCAATTCTTTAAGCGACAATTAAATCATCATATAATATATAAAAGTTGAAGGCATAATGTATTGAGGACGTCCATATAGGATTAAAAAACTTGATATGATTGATCCACATCAGCATATTTATTAAATAAAAAAATGTTAAATATGATTAGCATGGAAGAACTTGATTTAATTGGTCCACATCAGCTTTTAAATCAAACCAAAAATTATTAAGTATAATTAAATTATTAAAAGTTAATTTAACAAATTATATCCAACAAAAAAAGTAAATTCAATCTTATTGATCCAAATTAGGGGTGGACAAACGGGAATATGGGACGGGATTTTGCGGGAATGGAAACGGGACGGGATTATGGGAATCAAAATAATTGTTCCATATGTGTTCCATTCAAAATTTGGGACGGGACGGGAATGGGATGGGAATTCCCAAAAAATCTAATAACATGAAAAATTGACAATTGTAAAAAAAAATTCAATTTACATTCGTCCATTGTTCATTTCCTGAATCCTAATAAATAATAATAACATGTCATATAAGATTATAAATTAACCAAGAAACAAATAAAATCAAACTTAACTTAATTATTAAAATTTAAAAGCTTCAATTTTTTTTTTAAAAAAACAACATAATCCATTGAATAGTAAACAAAAAACCACATATAGTCTATTAGTCATATATAATAAAATAAAAAATAAAATCTAACATAATCCGTTTAAATTTCAGCAGTCAGCATGCATTTAGACTATAACTTATAAGTTAGAACTTTAGAGGTGCAACTTTTAAGTTTTAATTTTCGTTTATATAAAATAATATATTAATATATAATAATGATCATTTTGGTAATATATTTTAAATATCTAATTTATTATTTATATATAATTTGGAACAAATGGGACTTCGGGAATTCCCGTTCCCGTCTCGTCCCGTCCTATTCCCAAATGGGAATCAATATGTTGTACCATATGGGAAGCACATTCCCATATGGTACGGAAATATGGAATCAGGATTGGGACGGGATGGGACGGAACAGGATGGGACGGGAATTGTGCCCATCCCTAATCCAAATCAATATTTTTATTAAATCAGAAAATGTTAATATAGTTTAAATTTTTAAAATTTAAATAAAAAATTAACAATTAACAATACATGTATAAAAAAGTAACAATTATCAATTATCAATTTAAAAAAAATCTACAACAACTCGATTTAACAATTAAAACAATAAAAACTGAATAAAAATATAATATAAAACTTTTGGAAGACATGATGAAGAAGAAAAAAATGGTTTTGCATGATCATTGCAGCTTCCTAACAAAATTAAATGTGAATCAACATGAATAATAGATTATATATACAGTAGTACACAATATCAATAAGAATTTAAATAAAAAAAACTAAATATTTGAACACATAAACCTTCAAGAAAAAAAGAACTATGGAAATTATATGGAAAACAAAAATAATACCAAAATCTTAGCATGATTATATTTTTCTAAATCAAATGTATATGTACGTCAAAGTTGGATAATTCGATAGGTGTCATTTTTATTATTTTACCTAATAGTTTTTTAAAATTTATAAATAAAAATAGGATAAATTATACATTATATATTAAATTCTCTTATATAAATGAAAATTTCTATAAATATATATAATTTTTAATAATTTTAAAGATAGTAGCTAAAAAAAACAAACCAAAATATTGATACAGACTCGCGCGTAGCGCGAGTTATATACTTAGTCTATTACTAATAAAACTTGATGTTAAATACCTCTAAAGGTGTCCACATAGGATTAAAAATTTAATATAATTGGTCCACATCAGCACTTTTCATTAAATAAAAAAATATTAAATATGCTTAAAACCTTGATTTTATTTTAATCATAGAAAAATTAAAGAAAAAAATTAAGTAACATATAGAAAAGAAAATTATGTTAAAAAACTAAAAAAATAGTATCATTAAAAAGAAAATAGAAATTTGTTTTCAAAATAGTTAATTTAACAAAAAACAAATATCATATAAATTCAAACTTATAATATAAATTAGGAAAATTCTAACATCTAAATTAATTGACAAAAAAATATAAAACATTGATTTCGTTTTATTGATGGAAAATCTAAATAATAAAACTTAAATAGAAAAGAAAACTGTGTTAAAAAAACCAAAATATAGCATCAGTTAAAATCTAAAACATTAATTTCGTTTTATAGATGGAAAAATTAGAATAAAAAAGGTATAAGTAAAAATAGAAAAGAGAATTATGTTAAAAACCAAAAAAATAGTATCTTTCAAAATAAAATATAAATTTATTTTCAAAAGAGATAAACTAACAAAAATAATCAATATCATAAAAGCTCAAACTTATAATATAGATTAGGTAAATTCTAACTTCTAAATTAATTGACAAGAAAAAAAAAACATTAATTTCCTTTTTAGATGAAAAAAAGAAGCTTAAGTAACAAATAGAAAAATAAATTATATTAAAAAATTAAAATATAATATATCTTGAAATTTAATGGAAAAAAAGTCAAGCTAACCAAAAACTAATATCATAAAATTTAAAACTTATACCATAGATTAGAAATTATAACTTATAATGCATTGTACATATACAAATCATCATATCTATTACTAATAAAAGTTGATGTTAAATGCCTCTAAAGGTGTCCACATAGGATTTAAAGATTCAATTTTATTGGTACACATCATCATTATTTTTAGTTAATTATATATTGAGTATTAAAATTAATTAATTCGTTTTAATAGTTATAAGGAAAATTTCTAAATTTTAGTTAATTTTGTTTTTGTTGTTATTAGGAAAGTTTCTAAATTTTAAGTTAATTATTAATAAAAAGAGTTTTAAAAATAGATCTTATTTTTCTATTAACAATAAAAAAGGTAAATTAACATATAAATAGATTATGAAATAAAAATCATATATATTGAACCAAAATTATTAAAAATAGTATTTAAAACCATAATTAAATTATTTTAAAATTTTAATCATGAAAAACAATTAAAAACTGAAATGCTAACTTAAAATATATTAGTTGTGGTATGTGTTGATGTCTTAAGCCAATGAGAGCGTCCACATAGGACATATATACTCAATCTCATTAGTCTATATCAATGTTTTTATAAAACATAAAATATAAAATATTATTAATAATTTAAATGAATTAAAACATTCAAAAATATAAAATTATCACAATAGAATGGAAAATTAAGATAATTTTTTTAGCTCAATAAAATAAATTTATGTCAAAAGTCTAAATCTATTGTGAAAATAAAATGGAAACTCATTGTCACAAAAACTAAACTAATAAAAACAAATATGTAAATCAATAACGAAAAAGTTAAATTAAAAAAAAATTAGTATATATATTTTTAATGAGTAATTTATTCCGAAAAAAATATTAAGATTAAATTTTCATATAACCATATAAAATTGTTATTTAAAAATATCAATACCACCAAAAAAATATTCATCTTAAATTATCAAAAAATAAAGTCATCTAAAACTTATAATTTTGGGAGAAATATCTAAAAAATTAACAAAAAAATTTTGACAAACCAAAAATGATATTTTATGCTAATTACTGAAGAAAGCAATATAAAAAATGTTTAACTAACAAAAACCAGAACATAAATTATTTCTTACAACATGTCAATACAATTAAAATGAAAATCCATATCGAGAAAGTTAAATTAACAAAAAAAGAAGATATTAACTTAATATATATGTTATTTATTTAACAAAATAAATATAAACAGAATAAGTAAGAGAATAAAAAAACTTAAATAATAATAAAAACTTAACTAACAAAAATAATGTAAATATTTAAGCTAATTATTTAAAAAATTAATATTAAGAAATTAATTAACTAAAAACTAAAATGGAAATTAAGTTTTACAAATTATTATTTTTAAAAAAACATTTAAAATATATTGACTTGATATCTGACTAACTACTTAAAAAATTCATATCAAAATATTTAACTAACAAAAAATTTATTCTATACCATAGAAATACTAATGAACCATTGATCAAATAGTTGGACCGAGAGGGTTTTCACTTCTCGAAGATGATTTGATGTGTAGATTTGTGATCAAAATTATTTCGTGGACTAGGAAGCACTTTAAAGGACAGAAAATTGAAGAAGAGATTTTGAGGAGTAGAAGTAAAGTTGAAAGAGCAAAAGAGTAAAAGATAAAGAGTAGATATTAAAAGGAAAAAAAAGAAAAAAATTAATGTTTCTTTTTAAAGTAAAATATCAAATAGCAAAGGTTTTTTCTATTTTGTTTGATAAGGTATGGTTGCTTTCCTAAAAAGTCATATTGTTTTTTGCCATTACCTACTAAAATATCGATACATATTTTTATGGGTTCACATCAACAAATTCAATTTCCATAAATGACCGCTATATGAATTCACTAACAAATCACAATACACGTGGGACATGTTCTATGGAAGCGAATAGTTTATAAATATATGACACTTGCAAATAGTCTTTCCATTGAAAAGTTCTTCCTTGTTGACTTTTAAAAAAAACCCATACTTCAACATCACATCTCCTTCCTTATATTTCCCTAACCCCTAAACAAAGTTCTACGAACGAAACCTCTTCTTCTTATTTTTTTCTTGTGTAATCAAGATTCTCCAAAATGTCCCATCACCCGAAAATCCACCCACTCGACGACCCGGAAGCCACACCGGTGCATCCAACGGCTCCTCTAGTTCCACGTGGTGCCTCAAGATCAGAACACGGAGACCCGACCAAAGACCCTTTGACTCAACGGCCACAACGGTTCGTGCCGTTGGCTCCTCCGAGGAAGAAAAGAAGAAGCTGTTGCTACAGGTGCGTGTGCTACACGATCTGCCTTCTCTTGCTTCTTGTTGTTGCAGTAGGCGCGACGATTGGTATACTCTACCTTGTCTTTAAACCGAGGCTACCTGATTACTCTATTAACCGGTTACAGCTTACCCAGTTTGTGCTTAACCAAGACTCGAGTTTGTCCACGGCTTTTAATGTGACAATAACCGCTAAGAATCCGAATGAGAAGATCGGAATTTACTATGAAGATGGGAGCAAGATTACTGTGTGGTACATGGAAGCCAAACTCAGCGATGGTACGTTACATTTGGTTTACTCTGGTTTGGTTTAATTTGGTTAAGGAACTTAGAAGGCTTCAAAAAATTGAATAAACCGATTCATTTGGTTTATTCCGGTGCAATTTCATTTGGTTATTCCTGTTCGATTTCATTTGATTCCTAGACTTCAGAAGGAATCATAATCTCATTATATATTGGTTAACTCTAGTATGGTTTACTTTGGTTTAATTTGGTTACTTAACCTAGAAAGGCTTCAAAATCTTAGTATAAACCGGTTCATTTGGTTGTTTCCGGTTCAATTTTCATTTTGTTCCTACACTTAAGAAAGCTTCACAATCTCAGTATGAATTGGTTATATGGTTGTTCTAACACTAGGAAGGTTTCAGAACTCTATGCAAACCGATTTATTTATTTTCTAAACTCTAACACTTTGTCTGTCTTTTGTGTTTGAGTAAAATTGGTTTATATCATACCCATATCTGGATCTTTATAAAGTTTTTAAACCTTAATTTCACTAAATTTTGTGGCTTTGTATAGGGTCGTTGCCGAAATTCTACCAAGGCCATGGAAATACAACAGTGATATACGTAGAAATGACCGGCCAAACTCAGGATGCATCCGGTTTAATGGCGACATTAACAGATCAGCAACAAAGAACCGGGAATATACCATTGAGAATTAGAGTCAACCAACCGGTTCGGGTCAAATTAGGGAAGTTGAAGCTGATGGAGCTGAGATTCTTGGTTAGATGTGGTGTATTTGTTGATAGTATGACTACAAATAATGTTATTAAGATTCAAAGTAGTAGCTGCAAATTTAAGCTTAGACTATGATTCCGGTTCTTAAATATTATTTTGCAATTCATATTTTCATCGTAGAGAGGTTTTATTGTTATGTGCATATATATATAGTCTCATAGTTCCTCTAACCTACGCTATCGTGTCAGATCTTTGTTGTATAATATAATCAATAATAATATATTACAGATTTTTGTAGATTTATGCTAATTAATTTAACGTAGTTCAAATATATGTGTCGACTCCCTTGGAAAATAGACTAACACGAAAATATTTATTTTTCTATATTCACACTAAATTGGTATATTATGTTCTTTTAGACAATCATCTCATATCAGTTAAACTTGATTTAAGATATAGAAATTGTAGGAAAAAAGAATGCAAAACTGTATTTTCACTATGTTAGCCTAAATTTTTAGATTTGTGATATCCTAAAGTTTAAACGGATTTGATCAGTCTCTCTAATCCAATCTTGAACCACGAATTACAGATTACAAATTACAAATCCGTTCAAACTTTAGGATATACTTTCTGATTTATTGAAAGGAATTACAAAACATGATTTTTCATTGAGTTTATTTTGTCTTTTTGTGTTTTCACAAAACGGAAAAAGGTCGTGTGCGATAGGATTACCCACGAGGCCACGAACCAGACTTAACCCGGAAGAAAAAGGGATTAATGGTTGAGATACCCCTCTTGGTTCAAAAATGATCCAATATATCCCTGTTATTTTTGGATTATTTGATAACATTTATTTTAAATAGAGAAAAGGAGTAGATATCGATTCTGCCTTTACAAACTTAACAAAATTACTGACCCAACCAAAAGAAACCCACCCAAACCCTAATCCGCCCATATATCGCGGATCCTAAGTCGGATCTAACTGTTAAAAACCGCATAAAATCACCCTTCATCTTCCCAATCGATCAAAAATAAATTAGGGCAAAAAATTTAAAAGAAAAAAGCGGACGAAACGACGATTGATCCTAGTTCGTCGGGACCACTACGAGCAGTTACTAAGAAAAACTAAGTCAAACTATCTAACTCTCACCACAACAGCAATCGATTTGTAGGCGAATCAGAGAAGGTAAGTGTCGTACTCTTGTCGGTTTTGTGAGATGGATGTCGATATAGATTCCATTGTAACCGATTTGGATTGATCATGTAGGCATATGGCGCGTATAAAGAGGCCGAATTATGGTTTAACTGATGAGGTTCCATCGGAGGTTCGAAGATCTAAGAGAACCTCTCAGGTGGTCTATGAAGACTCGGACCCGGAATCTTCAGAGAACGAAGAAGCAGGAGGCAACGATGGAGGCGACGGAAGCAGCCGAACCGTAACGGACGACGGCGCGTCCGATTCTTCAATGGTATGTACCCGAACCATTGTTACTTGGTTTTCGAGTTTGGAAGAATTCGTTGGTTTTGGGTATCGAGTTTGCTTAAAGTACTTTCGTTTTGGGTGATTGATTGTATAACGAGTCTTTGTTTCTAATTTAGAATTTAGGCTATCAGGTTTTCATTTTCGTTGATTGTTGATTGTTTGTTTCGAATTAGTAATATTCTGAGTTTTTAGTAAAACTGGTAAAACTAGGGTCATTTCGTATGTTAAGAATTTCTGGAAAAAAAGTAATACTTGGTACAACTATGTTGCAGGGAACCGAGCCAATGCTTCCGATGGAGATGTACTTCCAGCCAACGGAGTACGTGAAAAAGATCAAGCTGTCTACAAGGTGTTATATCTCGAAAGCAGTGGATTTACTGCTAAGTGGATTAAAGTATCCACTTAGACCAGAGGAGAAGAGTTGGTTTGTGGATCACCCCCAATTCAAACATGTCTTCCACATGCACAATGACTCAAACCACAAGTTAATGGGGATGTGGTTGCTGATTCTTCGAACGGCGATTACAGAGAGGAAAAAGGAAGCCTGGTTCATTGTGAATGGCGTGCCCATTCGGTATGGTCTACGTGAACACGCTCTCATCTCCGGTTTAAACTGTCGCAGCTATCCTCCTAACTATTCGGAAATGGGCAGTATGGAGTTCGTGGAGAAGCACTTTGGGGCGGGGAAAAAAGTAAGATACTCAGATGTGAAAGAAAAGCTGGAGAATATGAAATATTCTCCAGATCGGTTAAGGATGGCCATCCTTTTCTTTCTATCAAGCGTCATTATTGGGCAGTCTAAGATAGGAGGTGATGCTACTTGTGTGGAGCGGTTCTTTCAACGAGCACTCAGTGATCTGCATTTGTGTAGGACATTTCCCTGGGGGAGATTGTCTTTTGATAACAATATGGAAGAGATCCAGCATACTGTGGATCATTTTAAAGGGGTTGTTAGCGGATCAAATTGGACTTATCCAAGCTTCTGCATTCCTTTGGAGGTAAATATGAATATATGTAGTACTTGTATTTCCATAGATTTGAAGCTAACTCGAAATATATGTGGCATATGTAGCTTCTAACGTTTGAATCAATTCCATCACTGAAGAAGAAATTCCAAGAAGTTGTTCCATCTGCGAGGAAAACTTGTCCGAGGATGTGCAAGAGCAAGTTCAAAAAAAGCGCCATGAAAAGATTTTCTCTCGAGGAAGTAAATGAAGCACTTGGTACAACTAAGGTCAGTAATACTTTTAAATTCAAACGTTTTAAATTTGCACATTTTTAATTTATTTATGATTGGAATTGCACTCTTTGTTTATATCCACAGGAGATTGATAGCATCTTGGTCCCTCACAATGAGGAAGAAGCTTTTGTGGCTCGAGTGACTGAAGAAGATGACGATGATGATGTCGATGATGCTGTTGTTCATAGTTGGTTGAAGTGTATTAAAGATGAAGACAAGCCGGTCTGTTTTGAACAGATGTACGAAGAAGACGTGGCCGCCCGACTAGAAGAGCAGCCCGCGAACGCCGTCAATGCCGTGAACGCCGCGAATGCCGCCAATGCCTCCACTGGTTCCGTCTCTGACTTGGTTGAGGTCGTACAGAGGCTGAAGACGGAAATGGAGAGTGGCTTCAAGAAGATGAATGACAAGTTTGATGGGTTCGATACAAGACTTGCAGCAGTGGAAGACTATGTGAAAGAGCAATTAGATGCTCGAAGCATGTATGAGGACGTCAATTATGATGATTACATTCCTCGTTCTAATGTGAATAACAATGATGGAGCGAAAGGAGCAGAGGTAAGATTTGGTTGACTTAAACCTCTAAACGGAAAAGTAATACTATGTAACACTAAGTACAACTTTGTGTTTTGCAGGGAGAAGAGCAAGAGCAAGAAGCAGAGGTGGCGGAAGCAGATGAAGGAGCAGGGAAGGAGGCGGAGACAGGCGTTGAGGAACAAGAGAAGGAGGCAGAGAAGGAGGCGGAGAAGGAGACAAGGGTTGAGGAACCATAGAAGAAACAAGAGAAGGAACCGGAGGTAATTTGTCTTTTTGCAGGGAGTTTAACTGTTTGTGTTTTGCAGGGAGTTTAACTGTATGTGTTTTGCAGGGAGAAAAGAATGAAGTGGCTAAGGAGGCAGAGGAGGAAGAGGCAGAAGAGGCAGAGGAGGAAGAGGCAGAAGAGGCAGAGGAGGCAAAAGAGCGAAGCGGTAATTCTCCTTTAATAATGCGATGTAGCAGTCTTATAAGAGTAGGAGGCAGATTGCTGAAGGTCCCTAACAAGTCTGTGGCTGCTGTTTTATCTAAAGCTAAGGAGATAGAGGAAGCTAAGGAGGCAGAGGGAGCGAAGGAGGCAGAGGGAACGAAGGAGGCAGAGGTAAATTTGTAATTCTTATACCCTAAAACAGAAATGCCACACTATGTAACACTAAGTAAAACTATTTGTGTTTGCAGACAGAAGGGACATCTTCCTCCGCGGTGGGTAAGCAGGTGTATCGAAGGAAAAAAAAAGGTTCACAGTCCCAAGTGGAGAAAGAGGCAGCCGACGAACCCCAGAAGAGGAAGATAAAACGTTCCCAGCATGTGCGACCTCCTTACACAGAGGAAAAGGCCAATAGGGGCAGGAAAAAATAGTCTAATTGGACTTAAAACATTTTCTATTTTGGTTTTCAGTTGGACTAAAACTCGAATGCTGATATGTTGTTATGTTGTTAGGATTTAAAGTTTGGATTTAATGTTTGGATTTAAACGTATTTCATTTGGTATGGTGTTTTAATTTGTTTGATTTGGATTTCGAATGTTTGATTTGATTTGATATAAACACTAAATTTAGTTATAAAACATTGAAGTGCAAGGAAACGTTAGTCTTGAACAACAATTAAAACAACAATTAAAGGAAATTACAGATTCGTTAAGTCTTGAGCTTCGCTATCTCTTCGGCTTGGATCTGAATCTTTTTTCGCATTTCTTCAATCGTCTTGCTCTGCTTTTTAACTTTCATAACTAGCTTCTCAATCTCTTGTTCGACTCCGAAAACCCATGGCTGACGAAAGTGGAGTCCATCATCCTAGCAAAGAAACAAAAAAACAAGCAACATCCATTATAGTTATACCTAGTATTCCAAGTTTTACATCCGAAGAACATCTAAATAGTTTAACCTAGTTTTACTAGTTTTACCCAGAAAAAAACCCAGATCTGAAATTATAGAGATTATACCTTAAATTTGGTGCATGTGAAGTACCTACTGCCTGGTTGAGTATCGAAATCCTGTTTAAATTTTGGAGAAGGAGATACATCGTGCTTGATAGATCCACCACATGGGCATCTTCTCGGAATCCCATATTGGCCATCGGCGACGAATTCAACCATGTCTGAATGCTGCTTCATCTTCTCTATTTCCTTGCGGCGCCTCTTCTCTTCCTTCAACTCCTCCTCGTATGGGTCGATGAGGAAATTGTCTGTGTAGTGATAGCTACAATCCGAATCCATTTTAAGAGAGAGAGAGATATCGACTAACCTAAAGAGATAAGAAAAAACGAACCCTAGAACCCTAAGAGAGAGAGATTGGAGGAGGAAACTCGAATCTGAGAAGTGAAAGAAATCCCTATGACCCTGATTTCTACAATTTACCCTAAACCGGGAAAAATCATCCTGAATTTCCAAAAATTTCCCGCTCCCCACCAAAATAACACGTGCACCATTTTTTGTTTACGTGGACGCCGCCAAAATTACACTTAGTAATCCGTAGTTTTTTAGTTATACTATTTTCAAATAGTTGTACTTTTGGGTGTTTTTAACTTTATATAGTTATACTCCGCGATAAATTTCTTGTTTGTAGTTTTACAGATGATTTTAGTCCTTCTTTTGTTAAGCCTAAGGGTTTTATGCATTAAAAATGTTTTAAAACTCATCGTATCTGTCTATGGCTTCATATGGTGGTTAATATTTAGAAAGTGTTCATAGAAGTGTATGGTGTTTGTTGTGTAAATGTTCTTTATTTGATTGTTTCGTATTGAATGTAGATTTTTCTAATAATTTTAAAAATAAAATATAACTCTAAATAAACTAATACAAGATTTTTTCATATCGAATGTTCGAAATTCAATTAAAAACAAACATACTCTTGAATACATTAAAAAAAACCGTCTTAAATACTATCAGTTGCACCAGTTGTTCCAAGTGTTCCAAATACACAAAATAAACACAAACGAGCTACACAGCATCACCAGCCTCACCAGCCTCACTATTACCACTAAAGAAATATGACCACATCCCTCCTCTTCCTCTTCCCCTTTCTCTTCCTCTCCCTCTCTCTCTTCCTCGGTGTTCTCCAGCTGATGGGAACCGGTTTTCTTGAGGTATTCTTTCCTTTGCGACATAATCTGGTGGTATGACAACCAGGTTTTGTATATGATCAGGAATAATCCAATCAGACCTGTGTGGTACTGGATAAATCGTCCTGCAGTACGCTAATGTCCATAGCTCCATCCAATAATATTTCGAGTAAAACTCTTGTAGATGAAGTTCCCGGCCTCCGCTCATAAAGATGGCAGCAGCTATTGCATGCACACAAGGGTATCTGTCTATATCAAAACACTTGCAACTACAGCTTTTCCTTTTTATATCAACCAAATAGCACTTGCCGTCTTTTCCAATGACACTGAATTCAAGGAAGAAGGTGTTCAACTCATGCACCGTTAATTTCTTTGCTTCCGGTGATCTTTTATGCAGTTCTTTCTCCACATAAGGCACAAGCTTCTGGGTGCTTGATACTTCAGAAGAACTGTTCCTATGCTTGTTAAACCATTCAGCCAGCTTATCAACAATCACATCAATCATTGGTAATAGAGCGTACTTTCTTGCTTTCCTAAGAACACCATTAATAGATTCTACAATATTGGAGGTGTCTATGTTGTACCTTTCTCCTGGAAAATAGCATCTTGCCCATTTGTCCACAGAAACACTACCATCGAGATACTGGGCTGCGGAAGGATACTTGGTTCTAAAAGCATCAAAAAGTGTCAGGAACTCACTCTCTGTATACGCATGAGCGCATTCTTTGAACTTCAGAACGCATATATCCTTGTTGACGTAGTAGACATTCACTTTTACATTCTGAGACAAATGTTGAATACAATACCCATGTTGAGACAACGGAAACACCACCTGCACAGACTTGATGAGGCTTGAGTTTCTATCAGAAAGAAACACCAATTCAGGATCATCCGGTATCACTGATTTCAACCTGTTCATAAACCACATCCAATTGGATAATGGTGATGATTAGGATCTTGAGCTGTAGCAACTAACAAAACACCACCATATCCAGTCTTAAGGTGGGTTCCATCCACAACAATGACTTTTCTCATGGCTTGGAATCCCTCAATGCTAGCTCCTAACGCAAAGAATAAGTACTTGAATTTTTTGTTTTCGTCCAATTCCACATAAGTCCGTGTACCAGGATTCATCGACTCCAGCATGTACATATAGGAATACACCAACTGGTAACTCTCGGCTGGACTTCCCCGCACATCATTTGCAGCTTGTTTTTCCCCCCTCAAAGCAGTAGAGTATGATACTTTTACCCCAAGTTGTCCTTGAACCATATCGATCAGATGTTTTGGAGTTGGAGTGTCAAATTTACCCGGATAATCTTCATGCACAACAGATGCAACCAAACCCGGTGTCCCTTTCCTTTTATTCCTAACTGTAACTGCAGAAGCTCGAGAGCATGTATGCATCTTGTTGTAAGTTCTTACCGAGAAACAATCTGATTCCATCAACTTTGCAGCTCGTAAAGACCACTTGCAACCATTTTTTGCTTCGCGACATTTCACCACGTATCGCTTTTTGTCAGACTTGATTGTATCAACCTCAAAACAATTCTGATGTGAGCCTACATGAACTAAATCTTGCACTGTCTTCTTACTTCTAAATTCTTGACCTACAATCATTTCAATACCATCTTCCCAGCCATTATTTACCGCTACTTCTTCTATAGCAGGTCCATACTCAATATCATCAACCTCTTCCCTGGACATATTTCTTTGTTCTGCTTGATGGCCTTCTGATGGTTCACCACCATGAAGAGTAATTATACCAGCATTAACATCCATACCACTTGAAAACACCTGCTCATTACCTGGACCATTTACACTTTCGCGATCCTCTCTTGAAGGCCGCACAACACCCTGATCGACATCTTCCATGATCTCCACGTGCAAAGCACTTCTACATGTATCGTTATTCACTTGCATCAGGTAACCAAAAATATTCTCATCATTCCAGATATATGATGGCTTAGGATCCACTACCAATGGAAAGTAACTGACTTTCAGCTGCGTATTAGCTTTATCTATCTTCATCTTCCTGCATATTCCACTGATCAACCCAGCATAAGTTACCTCATCAACAGACGTCTTCATCACTAAGGTGTGAATTTCATCTCCTCTTGATACCCATCTTATGACATCACCTTCCTTTGAATAAGATCCCCCATAATCGAAGCATATAATAGTGAAACGACTTATATTCATTGTCCCCTGAACAAAAATAACAAATATCATTAGTATATGTCTCAATCATATCATTTCTCTCACTAATACAAGCAGTAATACTAGTCCAGTTGTACCCAGTTGTTCCCATTTCTAAACAATGCTCAGTAATACCAGTTGCTCTCAGTAATACCTGATGTCTTAGTAATACCAGTTGGTCCAGTATTATTCTGTTCGTGTACCCAGAAAATTTCTATTTATCTACGAATCTCCAATGATTTACTACAAATCGGGATGATTTGATGTTCATTTAACGATTATAACTGCTCCTATTTACTGACCTACAACTCTTAGCAAAGAATTTCAATTATTCATTCATCCACAAAAAATTTAGAACAATGGCGTCATTGGAAGACCAAGAGCAACAATGTGTAGCACTTCCTATTATTCTAAGATTTATAGCGTATGTAAAGGAGATAATGTGGCAAAAGACTCATCTTATAAAGTTCCCATATAGCTTCAAGATGAAGGGATGGAGAATGTTGGGTTTTGGAAAATAGGAGAAATGAAGAATCCGCCAACCAGTGAAATGAACCATGAAGAAGATGAAGATGTGGGGTCCGTAGATAGTTGAGATTTAGTTGAGAATTAAATTAAAATATTATGGATTTGTTTTTCTTTTTATTTATTTCATTAATTTCAAATATTATTATTTTACTAAAGAAGAGTGAAAGCAAAATAAAGAGAAGAACGAGGGAAAAACATTGAAATTAAGAGAGAGATAATCAGATTATTTTCATTTTCGAACACTTGGGCATATTGGCTCTTTGTTCGAAAAAGAGATAACTTTATTAAAAACAAAAGAAAAATAAAATCTGGCACAAGGCAGTGAAAAAGCGAACTTTAAACCCTAATTCCCAAATCGGATTCACGAAAGCGATCTCGAGAATCCCAAATCCGTCTCTCAGCTTCCTTTTCCCCTTCGATTTGAACAAGCTTTTCAAAGGCGTTTCGTTTTCCTCCAGCTAGTCTCTCGTCATGTCTTGGTGCACGATCGAATCGGATCCTGGTACGTTTAGTCTTCCCCCTCACAGTGCCTGCTTTCTTTTCTCTTGCGATGGAAGGGTTGGGTTTTTGCTCAAACTGATTTTCACTTCACTGATTGTTTAAATTAGAACTTGAATTCAATGCTTTTAATTTCTAAATCCTAGTGTTGGTTTGATAAAAAGATTTGCAATTTATGTTCCTAGTGTTGTTCTTACGAGTTTTGAGTAGATTTGGGAGTATCTGAATGGGTCTGTGTGTATGGTTTTGGTGCTATATTAAACATGAAAGATTCATCTCAAACTTTGAAAAATCTGGAGTATTGTCCATGGGTTTAAAGGTTGTTTGGCTGGTTGTACTGTTAGTATTTGCAATTTATGTTCATAGGCCCCTTGATTTTGGAATATATTGAATGGGTCTGTTTGTGTGGTTTTGGTACTATGAAACATGGAAGATTCATCTCAAACATCGAAGATTCTGGAGTATTATTCAAGCGTTTAAGGCTGTTTTAGCTTGTTCTGTTGATAGTTGAAGAGGTCAGTGTTAGGCTTTGGAGATTATAGAGGCAGATAGGAACTTTTAGATAATTTGTATTTGTCTTGAATGATATTGTAACTGTCTATAGTTTTATTTATTGATATTGCGTGGTGGTCTCTTTGTGCTTTGCTTATATAAACTTGTTTATTGTTCGCAACAGGTGTGTTTACGGAGCTTATTCAACAAATGCAAGTCAAAGGAGTGCAGGTAATATACTCTTATAGTATATCTGTTTTACTCATGTCCGGAGCCAATATCATTCACACGTGAAAATCAAGTGTCTGTATTTGATGCCTGTTCTGTCCTATACGTATATTCATTTCGGATGTCTATATGCATGCTGAACAGATGAAATTGGCTATTACAACGATTTCTTGCGTTAGCTTTCACCACTTGATTTGATATTTTCCACAAAACTTTTGATATTGACTCGCTTTTGTTGTAGGTTGAAGAGTTGTATTCCCTGGATCTTGATTCTCTCAATAACCTCAGGTGAGTAGTCACATCCAAGATTATTAAGCCGCTTCTGAAGTTTCTGTATTCGTTATTCTGGATGAAGTGTGAATGGTATTGGCTCCGGTCTACGATTTAGATTTTTACTTGTATGTTACCATGTGGCTGCCTTGTAGACCCGTGTACGGTTTGATTTTTCTTTTCAAATGGCAAGCTGGGGTAAAAGATGATCGTCCAACAATCCAAGATCCTGTTTCTAACCTCTTTTTTGCAAATCAGGTTCGTTTTGATAACAAATGCATAAGATTTTGATTAACGGATCTCTTCTTTCAAACTTAATCTCAAATGGATTATACTTTTATAGGTCATTAACAATGCTTGTGCAACTCAAGCGATCCTCTCTATCCTCTTGAACTCTCCAGAGGTTGACATCGGCCCTGAACTATCGACGCTGAAAGAATTCACCAAGAACTTCCCATCTGACCTTAAGGGTTTGGCTATCAATAACAGCGAGGCGATACGGACTGCTCACAACAGTTTTGCAAGGCCTGAACCATTTGTTCCAGAGGAACAGAAAGCTGCTACAAAAGACGATGATGTTTACCATTTCATAAGCTACATACCTGTGGATGGAGTCTTGTACGAGCTTGATGGTCTTAAAGAAGGACCTATCAGTCTTGGTCCATGCCCCGGGGACCAAAGTGGTATCGAATGGCTGGAATTGGTTCAACCGGTTATCCAAGAACGGATTGAGAGGTACTCACAGAGCGAGATTAGGTTCAATCTTTTGGCTGTGATTAAAAACAGGAAGGATATCTACACTGCGGAACTTAAGGAGCTTCAAAGGCAGAAGGAACAGCTGTTGCTGGAGTTGAATGGTTTGGACAAAAGCAACGCAGAACCGCTTGAGGTGTTGATTCGTGAGGTGAAGAGTGGGATTGAGGCTGTGAGTGATAAGATTGTAATGGAGGAAGAGAAGTTCATGAAATGGAGAACCGAGAACATTAGGAGGAAGCACAACTACATTCCGTTTCTGTTCAACTTCCTCAAGCTTCTTGCTGAGAAGAAACAGTTGAAGCCTCTGATTGAGAAGGCCAAGAAACAGAAAACAGAAAGCTCCAGTTGAGAAAGTAGACAGACTCTTGTCTTTGCGTTAAAAACTTGTTTACCTGCTCTCTCTCTCTCTCTCTCTGTCTGTCTGTCTCTCTCTCTCTCTCTCTCTCTCTCTCCAAATCATTTGATTACACTCTCATCGCAAGTCTTTTGTATTCTGATTTTTATCACAGAAGAAATAGATTAGTTGCACCCCAATGGTTTTCCCAAGTATCTCCTTACATTCCTATTGCTGCTTGAATCTGATTTTGATTCACCTGAGCAGAATTCTCGTGCAATAGTATGTACTCTCGGATTCTGTTGCCAAATCTTATGGTATCTTTCTCAAAAAGCTAGTAACGTTGTGGTTCAATAGGACTTTGAATCTTTGATTAATGGAAGCCTTATTGGTATTGTCAAGATCTATAATGTAGGGCCTCACTTACTTCTTCCCATCACCCCATCATTGCCTCTGTGGGCTCATTGAAGAGTAGTGTGATATCTTTGTATATGTTGGGTTTTTGTAGCAACATTCTCTGAATAGCTTAAAAACTGGTTTTTCCTTTTTTTCCGTTGTAGCTGTTCTTATTCTCGCTATTGAGCATTTCGCTTAAAAGATGATTTTTCTTTGTTTTAGTTGTTCTCATTCTTTTTTGGTAGTAGACGAGAGACAAAAGTCTTTTATATTTAATTTATAAGAAAACCAACTTTCAACCGAACACTTTCTAGTTCAGAATAAAAAAAACTGTAAAAAAAAACGCATAGTTCACCAATCCATCAGAAGATGATTATCCTTCTTATATATGTGCTTAACTTAGACTAGTCAGTCCCTTGATAAAAAGTCATAGCATAATCGTATTAGAAAAGACAGAGGTTGATGATCACTTATCCCTGTCGTCAGAAATCCAACCATAATCTCTGAGTCCACCTCAAACTCCAACCAGGTAACTCGGTGCTCCCACGCAATATACAGCTCATAGTATACTCTCCAAAGTTCAGTTATGGTGCAGAACAGATGCCAATATTAACAGCAAATCCTCCACACCCCCTCTTATCCCGCAAAACCCCATTGGCTGTTACAATTCCAGGATTTTTATGAGATGCGCCATCTGTATTCAACTTCACCCAACCGTTCTGTGGTGGGAACCAAGATATTAGTTGTTCCTCTCTCACAACGGTGTGCGAGTTCCCACTCATCCTTGTGTGAACAAGCGTTACTTCTTTGGCTAGGTCCTTTAGGAATCATAACCTATCTTAACATGTTCCCACAAATCTAAAAACATTCCTGCATTGTTATTTCTATTCCCACTATAATGACATTGCAAAGATCATAGGGCAGCTACTACCTCCCATCACCTCCACATCTCCAAGGTTTTTATAAATCCACTCCAGTAGTGACTTTGCAAAGAATTCTCGCTATTTCCTTGGCGGAACTATGTAATTCGAAATTATCGTCATAGCTAGACAATCTCAAAGTACATGTATGATAGACTCTTCGCCTCCTTTACATACCTGTTTGACTCCCATATCACTTAAGTGTCATCGCTGTGTCTTTATATTCGTCATGGTTATCTGATGGACAACAAGCCATAAGACACTTTGATCTTTTTTGGCGTAACTACTTTCTAGACATGATCAAAGAATTTTTTTATGTCTTGCTGCGGCGAGTTATCCTTAGTTAAAAAAGAGTAAGCCGATTTCATTGTGAAGCTCCCGTCTTACTTTTCTCCCAAATAAAAATCTATCTTTAGCTCCTATTACATCATCCAGAATCACAAGTTCCAACCATAGTTTAGTATTAGTAGTTAAAAATAGTGTAACTTGAGCAAGCAACCATCTCGTTTCATTTTTCCATAAGTCTTGAATTCTCATGTTCACTATCTCCTCTGGTACTTCACTCTCTGCTATCTTCAATGAATGCAAGTTGAACAACTATTTACACCTCCAAAATCAAACATGGTGACCATCGCCAATAACCCAAATCATCCCGGGGAGTACCACTTCTCTGATCTATGTTCCTATGCTATACCATGTGTTCGACCAATTACCTTTCACAATTGTCCACAAAGTATCTTGTACCTCTATTACATTATACTCCATGAATACCTAGTCCCTTTTCTCTCTTAGGTAAGCAGACTTTTTTCCAAGAAATTAGATGCTGCTTCTGTACCACTCCATATGAATAGTCGTGATACTTAATCTAACCTTGTGAATGTTGATTTTGGTAGTAAAATCGTGCTCATAGCATATACAGGAATCGAAGAGAGGACTGCTGTGGTAAGTGTCAACCTTCCTGCTAAGCTCAATAAACGTCTCTTCCATCCTGCTACTCGTGATGAGATTTTCTCAAAGACATCACCAAAAGTATCTTAATTAATCTGTCTCTGTAGTATCAGCATTCCCAAATATTTCTCCATCTCCAGTGTTAATTTGATTCTGCTCTCATCGCTGATCAATTTCTCCAAGTCTCGGTTGACATTTTCAGAAAAAAGATCTTTGACTTTTCTAAACTGACTTTCTGTCCCGAAGCAGTACAAAATCTCTCTTAAACTCTCCTTATCATCCGAATCTGAGTTACTGATGCTCCAGCAAAGAGAATTAGACCATACACAAAGCAAATGTGTGATAGTTTAGGGCCTCCACATGATAGACCGATTGGCTTCCACTCTTTTAGCTCAATCTAGTGCTCAATTAGGTGACATAGTATCTCAAGACACAAAAAAAAACAGATACAAGGACAGTGGATCACCTTGCCAAAGACCTGTAAAGATTTAAAAAGTTTATATTTCTCTACATCCCATAGTATGTTCATTGATGGTCCTGCCACATATTTCATAATCCAACTAATCCATGTAGTTGGTAGGCCAGCCGTCCAAAGAGTATCTTCTAAGAAGTCCCATATAATCCGGTCAAATGCCTTCTCAAGGTCTAGTTTCAATAGCATCCATCCTTTCCCAACTTTATGCGATGCATCGAAAGAACTGCTTCCTGCACAATAACAATGTTGTCTGTGCTCAGCCTTCTCGGGATGAAACTTGCTTGAGCAAGACCAATTAGCTTTGGTATCACCCGCTTAAGTCTCATCACCATAGCCTTTGTTATTGTTTTAAATAACATATTACAGAGGCTTATTAGTCTAAGCTGTGTTATCTTTTCCGGCATCAATACTTTCGCGATTAAGACCACAAGTGCATCATCTGTCCTACTCGGTAGGCTCCATGTTGTAAAAAAATCCAAGGCAAAACGGATCACCGATTCCCCTACAACACCCCAACAAGCTTGGTAAAACACCGGTAGAAACCCATCTAGACCGGATGCTTTGTACTTTTCCATACTCCTTATCGAGCTCTCCATTTCCATAGCTGTGAAAGACTTATTCAGGTTCGTAAACTCCTCCTTGGTAAGTCTAATTAAGCCTTCCTGCGGTAGTACATGTACGACTTGATCAACATCCTCCATTGAATACAGTCTTATGTAATAATCTAGGGCCAATTGTTCCAGTTTTTGTTGCTGTTAAACTCATCTCCCATCATCTTCTCTTAACATTTCAATCTTATTCCACTGCCTTCTTACAACAGTTAACATATGGAAATACTTAGTGTTCCTATCATCTAATGCAATCAACTTCTCCTTCGACTTCTGGAACCAAAGTACCTCTTCTTGTTCTAGAATGACATCAAATTCTCTAATCAAGGTTTTCTCTTTAGTGAAGAGTTCATCCGTTTGACTAACCGCCAACAAGTCTTGAACATCCTAAATATCCTTAACTAGCTTTTCCTTCCTTTACTGGACAACTCCAAACATTTCTCTATGTCACTTCGTTAGTGGTCCTTTTAACACCTGTAAGGCATCTGGCATTGTCAATCCTGCATTCCAAGATGTCAAAAGCATCTCTTTGAAACCTGAGTTCTTAATCCAAGCTGCTTCAAAACGAAACAGTCTCCTTCTTGGGTCACCTCGCTCGAGCTATATGTAAAGCGGTGTGTGACCAGATGACAAGAATGGTAAGTGGGTGACCAAAACTTCCTGCCACTTTAAATGCATATGCGCACAACACAAAATTTTGTCGAGTCTCTTTGCGACATAAGTATTCTCCATACGCCCTCTTTTTCATGTAAATTTGTTCCCTCTAAACCATATATTAAACAGTGATAACTCACTTCATACACTTTCCAAAAGCTAGTGAATCCGTTGAGAGTCTACCATTCTATCATGTTCTCTCATCTAGCCGAATAATAGTGTTAAAATATTCACCAACTATTAATGGTCCATCTACAGTATGGATTATTTGCCTAAGCTGAACCCATAACCCGCTTCACTGACTCACTGTCGGGGCCACAAAGAGAACAATCAAGTGAATAGCTTCCATCACATTCTGCACTCTAGCATAGATTTATTGATCCGATTACTCCATGATATTTAGATCCCCAACCACCGTACGCGATAAAATTCACAGAACCCCACTCTGTCCCATCACATCCACTATAAACGTACTCTCAAAGCCTAACCCTTGACAAATATGCTTTGTTCTATCTCCTCCCGCGTGCGTCTTAAAAAAAGCAAGCACATATGTCTTATACTTCTTCAAAATATATCAAATCAATTTTTGAAATTTGGGTTTATTAGCCTCCTGACAATTCCAGAACAGACAATTCATCAGAAATATCCAAAAAAGATGACAAGAGTAAAGCCGGGGCACCTTGTTATGCAGCTCTTGAGCCTCCCTCCTCCTCCAACAGATTTGAAGCCTAAGTGATTCCTCTTGTCTTCGATTCATCTCTGAGTCAAATGGTGTACTCTCCTCCACATCCGCTCGGGTTTGAATTGAAACCTTGATTCCCAAATTCCCTGATTCATTCCCAAAAAACTCCTCTGGGTTGCCCTCTGCTCTCTTTCTCCACATTGAGTCACTTTCTCGATTCTGATAGCTCGATATCTTTCCTAGTCGGGCCGAACACAAGCCCTCTCATGGACATGTTAAGATTCTTTTTGGTTTTTGGGTGGTTTGTACCAGTGGGCTTAATCCTTCCATCACGGTTCTCCTTTGGCCCACTTTTGAACTCCCTCCTCTTTTTCAAATTATCTTCAACTGCTTTTCATGTTCCTTGACCAACACTCCTCCCTTTGCGATGTATATTTACGTTATTTTCATTCTCCTTATTTGTCTCCGTGATATATTTGTCTTGTCTTAAGTCTGAAATACTCGTCTCCTCTTCCAGATCCCCAAATTTGTTTAAAATCGCAATATTCTGTGTATCCTCATTCCTCGGGATTTTTTTGAGATTCTTTCTTAAATCTTCCTCGTAGTTCTCTGCCATCAACAGCATCTGACTTGTGGTGAGTATAGCCATCTCCTTGGTCTTTTAACCAATGTGAATCCATTATCTCCTTTTGTCGATCCATTTGATGCCTCAGTTTCTCCCTCTGCGGTACTGCTATCACTTCTTTTGTTGGGCTTATCCTCGGGCATTAGTGGACCAATTGTCCACACATAAAACAATTCAAATATATGTTCATTAAACCTTCATAAGAAACAAAGTACATTTCACCATTGATAAAACTATATCTTTCAGAGGCTTTGAAAGGTTAACCTCCATACATACTCGAGCAAATCTAGCTCTTTCGAAGTTTCGTGTGGTTAGATCCACTCGAATAAGCTTTCTGAAACCTCTAGTTATTCCCATAAGGATACATACATGGTAGAAATTCACTGGTATGTTTGTCAACCCAAACTGGTGCTGTTACGATCTCGTCTCTTAATGTTACAAACTTTGGCGCACCATAAGATAACTACCAAAAGCTCTACATGGTCCTCTTGTCAATGCTGCCAAATATTCCTCTTCCACTTCGAACCAAATCATGAAAAACTGCCGAGACAAGTTTATCACATACTTGGCACCTCTCGGCTTTCAAATCTCCCTTAGTTTTCTACTCAAAGCAGATATTTCAATGTTCTGACCTAACACTTTGATAATTATACACTGCTTCCATAACCTTTTCATCACATCTAACATTTCACTCTCTATCGTGATCAGCACCTCTCCATCCTCATGCAGACACTCTGACACAAACTCCTCATCAAATACCATCTCTAGAACCAGCATACCACCAGCCTTCGTACCTGTGAACTTGGATGCCCATGAACTCGTCCCATCTGGTGGGTCACCTGACAGCCTTGATTTGTCTCCAATAATAATCATAGTCGCATCCTGATTACCTGTTTCTGGAACCTAGAATCGCCTTTGCTCCCCATTATCCTCATTTCACGACAAGACATCTTCCTTTAGGTTCTACTAGCTCAAGGCTTAGTTAGCTGTTCTCATTCTTGCTACTGAATCTTCTTTGTCATTGGGTTCTTCTACGTTCTTACTGTTTCTCTTTTTGTTTCCTCTACGGCTTATGCTTTTCATCTTCCCCTCTCTCTACTTCTCTCAACCTCTCTCTATCTTCTATTAACTTTTTGTTGACAAGAAGATACAAGTGAATAAGTTATGCAATGGACATAATTGAAAAGGCCAAGAAAAGAAATCAGTTGAAAGCTCCACCACAAAGTATTTGATAGACTCTCTCTCGTTCCATATCTTCTGAATTCTAATTTTATCACACCAGAAATAGATTCTCTAGATGCCAATGGTTTTACATCCAAAATTCTCTAGCTAGGTTATATAAATGTATGGAAGTCGATAATAACTTGAATTGGCAAGGAAATTATCAAACAACTGATTTGATTTCGTAAAGGTCATGAGTGTTCTTCAGATTATCTAGAAGTATGAAACTTCTTAAGCACAATACCTTGATGATATTTAGAAGGTCATGTAATGGGGAGGAGAGGTTTCTGGTAACATAGTAACAAATTAACCCACTTAAGAACAAGAACAAACTCTCATCTGTTGATTATAGTATGATTCATCGATCAAAGCAAATGACACTCAATAGTATTAAACTGCGATGGAGAGTTGTTGTGTGAGAAACTTACCACTTGGTTGATGCTTTAGTACGCAAGTGGCTCATGATGGCAGCAAACCTGTGTGGTACTGTTGAAGCACCAAATTAAGTAGATGAACATTCTTGACAAGTTGTGAGATGATCTTGTAGGTTGGCGAAATTATCACAAAGATACCCGGAGGCAAAGATTGTGGTATTGAATGTAGCAGAGCATAAAAGAATTTTTGATCTACATAGAGAACATAATTACATAAAGTTATCTAAGATGATAAAGAGGTATTGCTATTTTTTGTTTGTGTCATGTAATTACACACTAAATCAAAAGTGTTGTTCTTTGTTTTTCAAAAAATTGATAGAAAGCAAATCCAGAGACATAATAAAGTAAAAATTATATGTCATTTGACTTGGCAACAAGGAAAAAGAAACCAAACAACTAATCTTTTTTTTTTGTTCGCTACAAAGATTGAAGGTCCTTAGACATGGCCATTGGTATTCCGTAACGTTTTAAAATTTTGGGAGTGACATTTTTCGCAGATTTGTGACTGATGATGATGATGGTATCATCGTCTTCTAAGTCCAGCCTCAAATTCTCGGTGCAGGATTCCTCTATGAGCTTACGTAGATGATTCAAATTCTCCACTCGCACTCCATTCACTTTTTTTAACCTGAGAAATATGATTCCTTTAGTAAGAAAAACTACCTTAAAGAGTGTGAAACTATAGGGCAGAGATCATTTCATAGTTTATTCTATCGTTTGAGAACATATGATTTGAGAACAGATGTTACCTTAGAATCTTTGAAAGTGGTGTATCCTACACTGTTATCATCCTCTAACACCTGCTCCAAAGAAAAACAAACTCCCTTAAGTATGGTGCATGAATGTTATATCTATTCAAGCTCTAACTTATCCTCTCATTAAAGCATGTCCAATGTATTAACAAGACGAAATTTAAAAAAATGGTATTGTCGTACCAAGTTTAAAAGCATTTTCATTGGAAGTCTTGGAAGACGTGAACAAAAAAAAATACAAAAATACTTATTTAGTGGATATTTCAAAAACATACCTGAGAAATGACGAGGATCTGTTCACCGGCTTTTTTGGGCTTATGTTTTAATACACTGTCATTTTTCCCAGCAGCGTAAATGTATGGTTGAGTGAGAGGCGAAAAGACAAAACCCGCATGTATGTAATAACTTGGAAGTTTATCAAATTGATAAGCTGGAATCAGTGATTCCTCCTATGTACATGATACGTTACACAGAACATATTATCGAAAGAGGAAGAAGGATATGATTGGCGAGAGTGAATGAGTGAAGCTGAGCTAGCAGCTGAGTTGGCAGGCCGTTATTGGAGTTTGTTGACGAGAAGATTGTGTATAAAAGAAATGTTGTTAAGTTTGTTACATTTATCGAATTACAGAATTGTAAACCAAAGCGTGAGCTGAGGTACGAGTGTGATGAACTCGTGAGTGGATCGATATGAGATCTCGCTCTTCATTCCTGTAAATTCGTGATTCTCAATACATACTTCTTCATACAATCTCTTCGTTCCTATAAGCAAAACCTATCATTGGTGCGGTGAAACTGCAAGCGAATCAAACGCGGTGATAGAGAATCGGCGATTCCACAATCGACGAAGGTGACGAACGAAAACGAGCAATCAATGCCGATGTCAAAAGAAATAATGGCATCCCCAAGCGATTCAGGAGGCGATGGAGAGATTCCGGAATCATCGATGGATATGGCGTTCCTAAAAGGCAGATACACGAGATTGAACAAGGCGTGCGAACAAACGGAGCAACGATTGTCCAAAATGGATGATAAACTCGATTCGATTGTACGATTCATCGAGAGATCCGAAGGACGCGACCGAGAAAAAGAGAATCGTCCACGAACAGCTCCAGCGACAACAACTCGATCGCGAAACCAGGTATCCCACTCTAATCTGGAACAAAACCGGGAACAATCGCTAGGTTATCGATCTGGGATATTGAATCTTGCGAACAGAGAAAGTATGCTGCAGAAAATCGAGATGCCTAAGTTCTTCGGACTTCTTCCGTATGTGTGGATCCAAGACGTGGAAAATTTCTTAGATATTGGTCAGTATGATGATGAGGAGAAGCTGGAACTTGTGGCTTTGAGTATTGAAGGCAGAGTTAAGAAATGGTATAAGTGGGAGATGAGCAGAAGGGGCTTTCGTAACTGGGAGGACTTTAAGAGGAAACTAACAAAGCGGTTTGCAGAGTCTATTGAGGAGTATCCAGCGATAAGATTGTTCTCAATCAAACAAACAGGTTCTATTGCAGATTATGTGTCAGAGTTCGAAGAGCTATCAGAGTTGGTACCTGGTTTAGACGATGAGAATCTGACAAAGATATTCTACAATGGATTGAACAGAGAAATGAAGGAAGTGATCAGAATGAAAGAACCCAAGGGCCTTGATAACCACATTGCCGCGGTTCTGACAATGAAATCCAGTGATTTCTGTAAGCTGTTTCGAGAAGATACACAGACTGAGACCAAGAAACAATGGCTCACAAACAAATCACAGGCTTATGGGGGTCGTAGAGAAGGATCCTACACAGGATATGGAGGCAATCGAGTATATCAGAATGGGGGTACTACCGGACAGCTGACAAACCATCAGAATCAGAATCAGGGGAACATAAATCAGGAGACTCAATTGAAGCAGAGTGAACCAAGACTGAGACAAGTTTACACTGATGCAGAGTTGGATAAAATGAGAAATGACAAGATTTGTTTTAAATGTCGTGCAAAAGGATGGACAAGAGCTCACGTTTGTCCAAAGAAAGAGCTCTGGATAATAACAATAATCAACGGATTGGAGATGGAAGTGCTGGATACATATGAGGAGAGTGAACGAGAGGAGATATATGAAGACTCATTCTCAGAACTCAGAACATTATCTCTGAATTCATTTTTGGGAATTCACTCTCCCAAAACAGCAAAGCTGTATGGCCAAATCAAGGAAACTGACGTGATTGTCATGCTCGACAGTGGAGCCTCACACAACTTTATAACACCTGACGTAGTAAAGAGACTGAAGCTGAAAGTTTGTGAAGATCCAAGTCTCGACATTCTTTTAGGAAATGGTGGAATAGTCAAAGGCACAAGATTGTGCAACGGTTTGAAGTTCCAACTTGCGAATGTCACATTCACATCAGATTTTATATCGCTAGAACTGGGAGCAGTAGATGTTATTTTAGGGGTACAATGGCTTGAGATTTTAGGTAAATGTGAAGTGGATTGGAAGAAACAGGAGCTCTCATTCATATACGAAGGGAATCGTGTGACATTACTCGGCGATCCATCCATTCACTATACCAAGTTCTCCATGAAGTCCGTGTCTCCTATCTCGCCTACTAAGGTGAAAGGAAGAGGGGAGCTTTCAAACCTTAGTAGCGAGGTAACACCGACATCTCTAATAGTTCAGGGACCGCTTAATCACCTTCTCGAAGAGTTTGACCATGTTTTTGCATTACCAAAAGGCTTACCACCTTACAGAGGCTCAGAACATGCAATAAACTTGACTCCGGGGATGACAGCTATCTCAGTCCGACCATACCGTTATCCACATACTACGAAAGTAGTCATGGAAAAAATAGTCTCTGAGATGTTTGAATCGGGAATCATCAGGCCTAGCACCAACTCTTTCTTAAGTCCGGTGTTGTTAGTCAAAAAGAAAGACTCGTCCTGGCGATTTTGTGTGGACTACCGAGCCTTAAACAAGGCGACAATACCTGATAAATTCTCGATTCCCGTAATTAACCAGTTGCTCGATGAGTTGTACGAAGCAACATTCTTTTCCAAGTTGGATTTACGATCAGGCTACCACCAGATCCGTATGGAGGAGAGAGACATTGTTAAAACAGCTTTCAGAACATTAGAGGGTCACTACGAATTTTTAGTGATGCCTTTCGGCTTAACCAATGCACCAGCGATTTTTCAAGCATTGATGAACAAAATTTTCAAACCATACCTAAGGAAGTTCATCCTAGTCTTTTTTGATGATGTGTTGGTATACAGTAGATCGCTGGAGGAACATGTTGAGCATCTACGAGTGGTTCTCAAAGTGTTTACAGAACAGAAGCTGTTGGCAAACAAGAAGAAGTGCTCTTTCGGGTTGCAACAAGTGGAATATCTGGGTCATATTATTTGAAAGGAGGGTGTTGCTACAGATTCATCAAAGACAAGAGCAATGAAAGAGTGGCCCATGCCTAAAACAGTGAAACAACTCAGGGGATTTTTGGGACTTACAGGGTATTACAGAAAGTATGTACGCGGATACGGCACAATTACTCGACCTCTCACAGAACTTTTAAAGAAAGACAGTTTTCAGTGGTCTACAACAGCACAAGAAGCATTTCTGACACTAAAACAAGCGATGATTACAACACCAGTGTTAGCTCTTCCTGACTTCGATAAGCAGTTTGTCATAGAATCAGATGCATCAGGGTTTGGTGTCGGGGCAGTGTTGATGCAGGAAAAGAAACCTATTGCATTTTTCAGCCACGGTTTGACACCTCGTGAACAGTTGAAACCAGCATACGAGAGAGAACTGATGGCAGTTGTAATGGCAATGCTCAAATGGAAACATTACTTACTGGGACGCAAATTTGTGGTACACACAGATCAGAGAAGCCTCAAATATTTGTTAGAGCAGAGGGAAGTTAATATGGAATATCAGCGTTGGCTAACAAAGTTACTGGGATTTGATTTTGAGATTGTGTATAAGCCAGGGAAAGAGAATCAGGCAGCATATGGCTTATCCCGGATTGAATCACACCAGTTCAGTGAGCTCACAGCATTTTTGATGGCAGTAACGGTACCCTCAGTAATTCAGTTGGAAGAATTGTATACAGAGATTGCTGAAAATACAGAACTGCAGGACTTGATACAGAGGATTCAGAAAGGAGAAGTGGAGAATCCACATTACAACATCATTAGTGGAAAACTTTGGTATAAACGACGTTGGGTCATTCCAAAATCATCGTCGTTCATACCATTAATATTACATGAGTGTCATGATGGACAGACAGGAGGACATTCAAGGGTTTTGAAGACTGTCAAGCGTATTCAAAGGATGTTTCACTGAGAAGGATTGTACAAATGGGTACAACGTTATATAGCCGAATGTGGGATATGTCAAACCCATAAATATTCAACTCTTTCACCGTCTGGATTGCTACAACCATTACCGATTCCACAGAGGGTGTGGAAAGATATATCGATGGAATTTGTTGAAGGTTTACCTAGTTCGCAAGGCGTCAACGTAGTGATGGTGGTGATTGACAGATTAAGCAAATATGACCACTTCATAGCTTTGAAACACCCGTTTACTGCAGTGGATGTAACAGACAGGTTTATGAAGGAGATAATCCGCTTACATGGCTTTCCGAAATCGATTGTATCAGATAAAGATCGTATCTTTCTCAGCAGTTTCTGGAAAGACTTGTTTCGACTAGCTGGCACCAAGCTGAAGTACAGCACTGCGTTTCATCCGCATACAGATTGTCAAACAGAGGTCTTGAACAGATGCATGGAAACATATCTTCGTTGTTATGCATTTGCACATCCTCGAACATGGTTTAAATACTTAACTTGGACAGAACTATGGTACAACACGTCGTTTCATTCGGCCCTGAAGACATCACAATTTCAGGTGGTCTATGGCAGAGAGCCTCCTTCCATTGTGCGTTTTGAAGATGGCTCCACAAACAATTTTGAGTTAGAGGAGTCGTTGCTCGAACGTGATGTGATGCTAACACGCATCAAGGCTCACTTGTTACATGCTCAAACATTGATGAAGAACCAGGCCGACAAGCACCGCCGAGAGCTGGAGTTTGAAGTGGGCTCTTATGTGTATCTGAAACTTAAACCGTATAGACAACAGACGGTGGTTAAACGTTTCTGTCAGAAGTTGGCGGCAAAGTACTTTGGACCATATGAGATATTGGAGAGAGTGGGGAAAGTGGCGTATCGTTTAAAACTTCCCGAGGAGGCGCGAATCCATCCGGTGTTTCACGTTTCCCGCTAAAGGCAGCGTTAGGCAGTGGCCAAGAGGTTCAGACTCTACCATCGGAAGCTTCTGATTGTGAGAATATGGTTATAACTCCGGAAGATATTTTAGCCTCTCGTTATGATGCTAAGGGTGGATTAGAGTATTTGGTGAAGTGGCAGGACTTGTTGGATCACGAAACCTCTTGGGTATCATATCGTGACTTTATTCACCAGTTTCCTTTTTACAAGCTTGAGGGCAAGCTGGGTCTCGACGGAGGGAGTATTAATACGTTACACAGAACATATTATCGAAAGAGGAAGAAGGATATGATTGGCGAGAGTGAATGAGTGAAGCTGAGCTGGCAGCTGAGTTGGCAGGCCGTTATTGGAGTTTGTTGACGAGAAGATTGTGTATAAAAGAAATGTTGTTAAGTTTGTTACATTAATCGAATTACAGAATTGTAAACCAAAGCGTGAGCTGAGGTACGAGTGTGATGAACTCGTGAGTGGATCGATATGAGATCTCGCTCTTCGTTCCTGTAAATTCGTGATTCTTAATACATACTTCTTCATACAATCTCTTCGTTCCTATAAGCAAAACCTATCAGTACAATAGATAACAACAGAAAGTGTGAAACAACGATTAAACTAAAACACATAGACAATAATTTAGAAAGAAGTAACAAATGGAACTTACGGGTTTCGTAATTATAGCAAAATCATGATGTTTGCCCTCTCTTAAGACTCTTAGTGATACTGCTTCACCTGGTTTCTTCATAGAAACCAAATGATTGAAGTTTATTCGTTCTTTCTTCCGAAAATTAACTGGAAAGAAAGAGAAACATGTAGAATATTTCACCAACGTGAATCCAGATGGAATAAAGTTATATAAATATAGTATAGTAAAAAATGTTACCTGTCGCATCGTTTCCTATTGAAGAGCCATCAACTGAGAGAAGAACGTCATCTTTTTTCAGAAGACTATAAGAACTCGACAACGGGTTTACAGCTTTTATTAGAACCCCTGTCATTTTAGTTGTCATCTTGAAGTAATTACGGATTAGAGCGTTCTCCATATGCTGACACCAAATACCTAATGAGCAAAACCCGGGGAATTGACCATTTTCTTCAACACCAGTTATGAAACAGTTAACTACGGGAGTTGGAATAATGTAGCTGCATATGAAAATCACAAAAAATGTAGATTGAGTGACGTTTGGAACATTACTAATATTACATGATATATATGGTTCTGAGCTTGAATGGATTAGAGGCTATATAGCCTAGAACCTCATGATAATCCACAAAGATAAAAATCACCAAAGAGTTTTAGTAAGCTTGCCTCCAACAATGTTCAAAGATTTTACTACAATTACAACTCACCCTGTATTCTCTGAAGATAAAAGACCTTGAAACGCTACACCAACAACTTTGTTTTCCCTGAATACTGGACCACCACTATTTCCAGGATTGATAGCCGCATCTATTTGTATTGTCATTAGCTTAGCCCTGCTGTGAGCATAGTTTGTAACTTCAACTCTATAGACAACACCTTTCGTAATGGAAATGTTGTCACCACCTGCAAGTGAGCACATAACACAAATCAATATATATTCCTCCTATTTCATTTTAAATATCGTTTAAAGATTTTTTTTTCATATACGTCTATTAATACATTGAAATAATAAGGCTAAACATATAAAAAACGAAACCATGGTTATTCAGTAGTATTACTCTTTTATTTTCCTATACTAAAAAAAACGATAATCTCAATTTTACCTCGAGGATATCCAACAACAAACACATTTTCGTAGAGAGAGGGTACGTTTCCGAGGTCTAATGGCTTCATATCCTCCCAAAACTTTTTGCTATTGATTACTAAAATGGCCAAATCACAGTCATGACCAACTGCTTCAACTTTTGCTTTGTACTTTGTTGGTGAACCATGCTTTCTGACTTGCACGAATGTGTGGTCAGACACTACATGAGCGTTCGTAAGAATCTTATTTCTTGAGATTACAAATTCTACATCAATTATAAGTCAAGACATGAATTAAACAATACCAAGAAGAAAAAAACAGACAAGTATACGTAACAAAATATTTAATAAAAGTTAAAAAAAGACAAAATAATTAATAATTACCCTAATTCAACATGCAATCAATACGTAAGCATTGTTCCTTCATATGAATATTTTGATATATACTACAAAAAGAAAAAAAACAGACAAGTGTATCGGGTATGTAACAACCTAATTAGTAACCAAGAACACACACAAACACACACACACACAAACACACAGGTAGCATGACAGAAGCGTATAAGATAAAGTAGTAATATGAAAGGCTAGGGTTTTTCGAATGTCGCTTTCGGCAAAAATACCGAAAACAAGATCAAACATGAAAATTTTGTTTACTTCAACATTATAACATTTATATTTTATAATTACCCTAATTCAACATGCATCAATACGGAAGCGTTATTCCTTCATATGATAGTTTTAAAAATATACCAAATAAAAATCACAAAGGAGAGATATTTGACATATGTCACTATCGTCGACTAAGTACCAGAGCCAGTTTTTAGTTGCGGTAGTCTTTTTTGCCAAGGTTGTAAAACGCTAGACATGGCAGATTGGCAAAATATTATCACCACCGAGTTCAGTGCCAAATCAATAACGAAATCTGTAGCATTCGTATCCAAGAAAATGTGGAATGATCGTACTGGACAGGACATTGTCCGAGGGATGACCGAGCCAAGGATCGGATACTGGCTGGGAAATGGAGGTTCGGGCTATGGTCGGGTGTTGATCGGTGAAATAGTCGGATATGGGCTGGATAGCCGAGCCGGATGGACCATATCCGAGGGAAATGGGGTCCAGTCCGAAGGAAATGGGATTTATCCGAGTGCAGTGGGATATATCCGAGAGTCTGGGATGTTAGTCCGAGTGTCAGTGGACTGTCTCCGAGGGGGAATAGGAAACCTCCGAGAGAAATAAAGGATTAGCCGAGGTGGGACAAGTTGTCCGGGAGAAATAGGAATATTCGGATGAAAAATGGAAAACACCTCGGATAAGAGCGGTTTATCCGAGTGAAAAGGGATTTGGGCCGTGGGCCAAGTGTTTGGTCGGCTATTTTGGAATTTATCGAGTGGGTGGTCGAGCCGGTACAGGGAATAGCCGAGGAAAATCGAATCGGACCGGGATAATCCTACTGGAACCAGGAAAACGTCGGATAAGTCCGAGTTACCTAGGGTTTTGCGAGTATATAAGGGAATTTGAGACTTAACTCGAGGGTGTTGTGTTTATTTGAGCTAAATAAAGCAAAGAGAGAGTTTAGTCAAGAGAAAACCCTAAGAAAAACAGTTTATCCCGAGGATATCCGAGAGAGATCAGGCTATCGCCGAGCAGAACCGATTATCGCCGAGATAAACTGGTAGCTGCGGTTGCGAATGAGGCGGCTAGAGTGGCAGCCGTGGAAGCAGCAAGGAATGCTGCGGAAGCTAAGAACGTGGCTAGGAATGCTGCGGGTGCAGCTGGGGTTGCTGCGAATGTAGCACCAGTGGGGTTAGAGGCTGTGCTTGGGATGTTAGCACAGGTACTAGCTAGGCTACCTGCAGTGGCTCCTGCTCCGGCGGTTGCAGCAGCACCACAAGTAGTACCACCGGTGGGGGTTCACGCGGATGTGATTGGGGAGGAAGCGGACCAAGTGGAGAGGGTTCCGAGTTACCTCAAGATTTTGGATCACATGGTACGGTTGGGAACCAAGTTCTTTGCTGGAGGTTCTACACCGATTGAGGCAGATGAGTGGAGGATGAGACTGGAACGGAATTTTGAGTCTATCCGATGTCCAGAGGGTTACAAGAGGGACATAGCAGTGCACTACTTGGAGGGTGATGCACACACGTGGTGGAAAGGAATTGTTGGAAGGCTGGTGAACGCGAATTGTTCTTATGAGACATTTTCAGCGATGTTCAGGAGTAAGTACTTCCCACAGGAAGCTTACAACGAGTTGGAGAAGGCGTTTCTGTACCTTAGTCAGGGGACGCTTACAGTGAGGCAGTATGAGACCCAGTTTAATCAGCTGAGGAGGTATGTGTCTCATGAGTTTGACACGGAGGAGAAGCTGATTCGCAGGTTTATGAGTGGACTGCGAGTTGAGCTAAGGAATGGGTGTGTGGTTCGTGACTTCAGGACAGTTGCTGAGCTTGTTGAGAAGGCAGCATTGTTGGAGTCAGGACAGGCGGAAGCTGCGTTGATGTCAGCTGGGGCTAGTACAGCTGTGACCAAGCTGGGTCAGTCTAGTGGACAGAACCGGAAGTTTGGGAAAGGAGTACCGAACAAAGGATCTGGGGGACACAGCGTGTGCAGCAAGTGTGGCAAGGCTCACGTTGGCGAGTGTAGGCGCGGTGGTAGTGGATGCCACAGGTGCGGGAGTTTAGAGCATCGGATACGAGACTGTCCGGAGGAGGATCAGCGTGTGGTCCGTGTGTCCGGCAGTGATGGTGCGGTTCGGGTTTGCTACGGTTGTGGAGAACCAGGGCATTTCAAGCGTGAGTATCCTAAGGCAGGAGTGGTGGAGCAGGCCGTGGCTCAAGGGAAGAGAGCAGGGGAGGCGCTTGCATCACAGGCCAAGAGACATGCCATTATGCCGAGGGTGTACACGACGAGTGCAGCAGCAGCCGAGGAACCAAGCACTTCTCATCCGATTACTGGTACGTGTGGTACTTAGTATTTTCTAAACTTGCCTTGTGTGTTGTTGTGTGTTAGTATAGAGTCTTAGCATTCTAGGGAATGATGTGTAGGGACCTTGCTAATGGGTGAGGTTGAAACCCATGTTCTGTTTGACTCGGGAGCGAGTCATTGTTTTGTTAATCCGGACATGATCGGAAAGGGTCAGTTCCAGAAGGATCCCGGAGAGGACTTTGGGTTAGTTCAGGCGGCTGGAGGCCAAGTGATGTTTTCACTAGAAACGGTTAAGAATGTTCCAGTGATGTTTGGCGAAGTGAACATGCCAGCGGATCTAGTGATCTGTAGGGTTAAGTCCTACGATGTCATTTTGGGAATGGACTGGTTAGGCAAGCACATAGCTCACTTGGATTGTCACCGTGGAAGGGTGCGGTTTGAGAGAGAAGGAGAGGTCTTGGTTTATCAGCGAGTTAGACCAACCTCAAGAAGTTTGGTGGTTTCAGCTATTCAGGCAGAACGACTGATAGAGAAAGGTTATGAGGCGTATCTAGCAACGATCACTACTACAGAAGGAGGGCCGGATGTAGACTTAGGCAGTATACCGGTGGTGCAAGAATTTGAGGATGTTTTCCAGGCGTTGGCAGGACTGCCACCAGCTCGTTCAGATCCATTCACGATTGAACTTGAGCCGGGGACAGCTCCATTGTCTAAAGCACCATACCGGATGGCGCCAGCAGAGATGGCTGAACTGAAAAAGCAGCTAACGGAGTTGTTGGACAAAGGCTTCATTAGACCTAGTAGTTCACCGTGGGGAGCACCAGTGTTGTTCGTGAAGAAGAAGGATGGGAGCTTCAGGCTTTGCATTGACTACCACGGATTGAACCGTGTGACCGTGAAGAAGAAGTATCCACTTCCCAGGATAGACGAGTTGTTGGACCAACTCAGGGGAGCTACTTGGTTCTCTAAGATCGATTTGGCATCAGGGTACCATCAAATACCCATAGAGGAGACAGACGTGCGTAAGACTGCCTTTAGGACAAGGTATAGTCATTACGAGTTTGTGGTCATGCCATTTGGTTTGACAAATGCGCCAGCTGCATTCATGAAGTTGATGAATGGCGTATTCAGAGAGTACCTAGATGAGTTTGTGATTATTTTCATAGATGATATTCTAGTATACTCTAAGGATGAGGAAGAGCATAAGAGTCATTTGCGGACTGTTCTGGAAAAGTTGAAGGAACAGAAGTTATATGCCAAGTTCAGTAAGTGTAGCTTTTGGCAACGGCATATAGGGTTCTTGGGTCACATTGTTTCGGATAAGGGAGTGTCCGTGGACCCAGAGAAGATTCAGGCTATTGCAGATTGGCCTAGACCAGAGAATGCTACAGAGATAAGGAGTTTTCTCGGATTAGCTGGTTACTACAGGCGGTTTGTCAAAAGTTTTGCAAGCATGGCTCAGCCAATGACCAAGCTGACTGGTAAAGACGTGGAGTATGTCTGGACGGAGGAGTGTGAAGAGTGCTTCTCAAAGTTAAAGGAGTTACTCACTAGTGCACCAGTATTGGCGTTACCAGAACCGGGTGAGCCATACGTGGTATACACGGATGCATCCAGGAAAGGACTAGGTTGTGTTCTGATGCAGAATGGTAAGGTGATAGCTTATGCTTCGCGGCAGCTACGGAAGCATGAAGGAAACTACCCTACGCATGATTTAGAGATGGCGGCTGTGGTATTTGCACTTAAGATATGGAGATCTTACTTGTATGGCGAGAAGGTGCAGATATACACGGACCATAAGAGTTTAAAGTACATCTTTACTCAACCGGATTTGAACTTGAGATAGCGTAGATGGATGGAGTTGGTAGCGGACTATGACTTGGAAATAGCATACCATCCAGGAAAGGCCAACTTGGTGGCGGATGCGTTGAGTAGGAGAAGGGCTAGCGTATCATCTGAACAGAATGTAGGAAGCATTGTGATCATGCTAAGGACATTGCAGTTGAATGCAATAACGGATGGGGTTGAACCGTTGGGTTTGGAAGCTGCGGATAGAGCTGACTTGTTGACTAGAATTCGGATTGCTCAGGAGCAGGATGAGAATCTGAAAAAGGTATCACAAAATGATAAGACAGAATATCATACTTCAAACAATGGGACCATTGTTGTGAACGGACGGGTCTGTGTTCCAGATGTGAAGGAGCTGTGGGATGAAATCCTTAAGGAGGCACATCAGTCAATGTTTTCTGTTCATCCGAGAATGACTAAGATGTATCAGGATTTGAAACGGTACTATCATTGGGTTGGGGATAAAACGTGATGTGAGACGTGCCAATTGG